ATGTATTTTTTTCCTGTTTCTCTTCGTCAGCTTTTACCATGTAAATGCCAAATCAGTATTTTAATTTAAAAGTAGACTTTATTGCATACTGGCTTTATCAAATTCTAAAACAAAGTTTCATGTAAACTAGTGCTTGCATATTTGAATATGTGGGTGAGGGCTTTTTGGCTATAACCAGATTTTGAAAGGATCACCTGGTGATAAAATTGGGCCTGCTGTATTGAAAGGAAGGGAAACTTTGGGTTAATTATGTTATTATTAAAGTATATATAATAAAAATGAGGTGTTTCACCAAATCTTTCAGACAGAAAGAAACAAATTTAGAAAGTGGTTCTTTATGCCGTCAGAATTCACATTCTGAAACTCTGACTCATTATCTTAGTCTTTAATTTGGCGTCTTCAGATATGCTTTCCTCACTGCAAATCTGTCATGTGATGATCTAAATTCTGTTTCCATTTCTGTAAATTTCTGTTTCCTTTTTGAAATAAAAAGAGAGAAAATTAAGAAGTGTCGAGACATTTTGGAAAAAACGAAGAAAAATCTTTTTGGCCAATCCTAGTGAGTATTCCATTGTATTTGGTATGTCTGAAGGACCCAGATAATGTTACACAATTGCCTGATAGTTCTAAGAGGCTTTCTGCTCTGTTACAGTTAATTGTTTGGAATCTGGAATAACTTGATGGTCAGAAATATCTATGGATATTTTCTGAAGGCCTCTTGTTTTGTATTTCAACAGATGAGTAAAATGAGCTAAACTCTGTTGAATCACCCTGCTCTGAATTTGTTTTCCAGATGATGAAGGTTCAGTAGTTCTTCAGAAAGCAGAGGTAGAAATTATTGACCAGACATTATGTCATTCCACATACGGGATTATCACAGCTAGGATGTTTTGTGCTGGGCTATCATCTGGGAAAAGAGATGGGTGTAAAGTATGTATCTCAGCAAACTTTGCAAAGTGCTTCTCTTGTCTTTCATTGTTGCGTGTTGAGGTGCAAAGTTGACTGGCAGACCACTGTGGTCAATCTGTTTCAGTTCTGAAAAAGAGCAATATAAGAATTGTCTGTCAGCAAATCTCTTCTGTGGGTGATTTCAGAGTTCTGCTGCTTTATGTGCATCAGTAGCACCACTAAGTTGCAGTTGCAGATCAAGAGTCAAACAAATTGCAAGTCCCAATAACAAGTTGAAATCAGGCAATTTTTGGCATAATAGGCTTTCAGCTGAAGAAAAACTGAGAAACATGCTTGTGTCTTTTCAGACTTTTCAAAATTTTCCTCCCCTCCAACTTGGAGCTACAGGACTTTATGATGAGATTCAGACAATTAGGCATAAATTTGCAAATGTAAGATATTTCTGATCTGGAAAAGTTGAAAGATGATAAATGTAAATTGCTGAATTTACATCTAGTGAATAGTAGTAAAACCACAGAGATATGCACTATATATGACACTTAATATTACAGATTTTATATGCCATATTATATTATACTGAACTTAGATAAACCATACATATTTATTGCTAAAACAGTAGTAAATTTACGGCTGAAATAATAATAAAAGCACTTTTTTATGATGGAGAATCTTCAAGATGTTCTAGCTTTCACTGATCTACACAAAAATGAGTCTACAATGGCTGAGGGAGTATAATGAACCAGCTGTTTTTTAGAGGTTAGTGAGGCCATTGATATTAAGTATCCTTTTCAGTAACTGCAGAATTTGTTTAAGACAGCTCAAGATATAGCCAAGGAAATAAATTTTTGGCTTCATTTTTGTAAAGGCAAATGATTTGTGTCTGGAAGTTGTTAGAGCTAATCAAATAGTGCTATTCCTGTTTTGTGAAAAGTGCAGGTGTTCCACTTTTGTTTTGCCCTAGGAATGAAAGAAAATACTTGCAAATTTTACTCTCTAAATGTAAAATCTTATTTGTCATGGAAGGAAAAAAAGTCTTCTAAATTCTTCACCTTTTTTGAGGCAGTTCATGATAATCCTACTTTGAGGAGTGGGTGGCACCTAAGCACCTTGGAAGAGGTCCCTTCCAACCTGCATATCCCAACAACCTATAAAGTGAAGGCAGAATAGTTTTCTAGCTCTAACAAATATTTGTCTAGAAAAGGAGGCACTTCTCTTGCAAAATACCTGAATTTTGCCAAATGCAGCTTTTGCTTTTAGAAGTTGTTCCTTGCACCCAATATTATGGTAAAGTTTAATTTGCCACTAGGTGTCTTTTTCAGAGATGCTGTGTGTATGACAGAGCCTTACAGAGAGAAAAGTATAAGCTTGGTCCAAGGAATTCCCCAAATGGTGGAATATGGTTTTATACCTGATGCTGTGCCAATGCCAATGTATTTCTAAAAGAACACCCTTTAAAGGAAGAATCCTAGTTGCTTTCTCATGTATTACGGCATTATGAGATCCTGTATTAATTTTGACGGCTAGAACAGACTTCATTTTAACTGCTCAAATTACAAAGACATTATGGGCCCCTAAACATTATATGCTGACTAGTATCTACTAGAGGACAATCCCTAGGCTCTTTTTCCTTCTTAAAAAAAAAACCAAAACCACAAAAAACCAAGAAAAACCTCAAACACAAAACAACTGAGGGACTCTGTTTCCGTTTACCTCTAAGTTGAAAGAATCATACAATTATTAAATATTTATTGTATTTATTTTATTTTAAAATATTTTCATAAAGCTTTTTATAAAACTGGTTTTGAGTTTTAATGTGGAACCTGTGAATGTACATACATGTTAAGTATTAGATTTGGGTTTTAGCTGTAAAATATATTTCAAATATATTTCAAAATATTTCAAATATAGTCCATAGAAAGTAATATCTTTATTACTGTCTTTAAAGCATGAGAATTACCTTCTCTCTTGTGAAAGAGCAAACTTTGGTAGAACTGTACAGTGCCATCTACTTGAAAAAAAAAAGCAAAACTGTATAAATTGTTTGAACTATATGAATATGAAAATCCAGTCACTGTAATTATGCAAAATAGCTCCTGTGGATTTTTCCCCACTTTTTATAATTCATATTGTAAACACATATAACTCGATTATTTTTAGGGTGATTCTGGTGGACCACTGTCATGTCAAAACAATGGAGATGGAAAATGGTTTTTGACTGGCATTGTGAGCTGGGGTTATGGATGTGGAAGACCAAATTTCCCAGGTGTCTACACAAGAGTGTCAAATTTTGCACAGTGGATACACAAATATGTGCCTTCAGACTTGTAACTTGAAAACTATTTTCTTGGAATGAAACATGTCCTGGATATATTCATTAAAATCATATTTGGAAGAACTGTTCAGTGGTGGAATTTCTTTGCATGTCTCTTGCTGTTTCTGGAATTCACAGATGGGGGGTAATAAATACCATTGTTTCAAGCTTTGGTGAAAAAGGAAGAGACTGTTCCTTGTGGTGGTTGCTCCAAGCAGATATCTGGAGACATGGGGGGAGGCGCAATAATGAACTTCATTTTCAAGGCACCAGCTAGGTGCAGGTACACTCATCTGTCAGGAAGCTGAAAATACAATTGATTGTATAAACAGAGAGCTTGGTGCTTACTCATCGTTTCTTCTGAGATGTGTGCAGCCAATACAGAAGAAACTGTGAAGTAGCAATGAACTGTTTGCACTGTGCCAAATACTACTTTCCCTGCCTCTTCCACCCAAGAACAGCTGACAGGGAGAAAGGGAGAGGAGGCACTGTAAAAAGTGAACTCAGTCCTTTCAAATCCATAGGGCCCTAATTTTTGAAGATCAGAAATTCTGCTGCTATAAGTGGTGATTTGTTGTATGTTTCTTAATTCTTCTGCATTCATTTTAATTAACTGCATGATTTGGAGCTACTAACTCTTTTATTTCCTGCTTTCATTTCTTTGTTTTCAAGCTCATCCACTTAAGAATTTGAATTCTTGAGCTTCAGGCAACCTTATCAAAATGAATAAACATGGTGATGTGTGTTATTGCAATGATCTTGTCCTTGCTGAAACAAAACTGGTGTTTCTAAAAGGTCCTGATACAAATTTTATGCAGAAGTGGATTTGTTTCTTCTAGGCATTTTCCTGTGGGTTTTTCTCTTTTCCATGAAGGAAGGGGCAAAGTGTCAGTCATCAGGTTCTGTGTGTGTAGCAGATAGGGTGTTGAAAAAGAGAGAACTTGAACAAAGCCATCTGTCTGCAGCTGTAGTTTGAATTTCTGAGCTGTGAGGATTGCCTTCCAATTAATCCCTTTTGCAATCTCTGTGTGAACTGTTGGGATTTGTTTGTTCCCTTTGTATTATTTTTCTGGGGCTGAGATTTCTTCATTCCCTTTTGCTTTTCTAGATTCTGTTCTTTGTGCTCTCTCTCTTTTTCAACATTTATCAAATATGTTATTTCTCCACACACATCCTTGATTTTTCATATTTTACATGCAGAATATGCTGAACTTGATGGTTTGCTGACTTAAAGCAGCTTTTTCCTTTCAAACAGGAAATGTGAACATAAATTGGTTTGCAATTTATTTACCACATTTATTCTATGGTAATATCTTGAAGCTGGAAAACTAAGGTCATATGTTGAATTGAGCATTTCTCCTCTCTTACAGATATTTCTATGAATTCCCCAGGGAGTTTATTAGAAGTTGCCTCATTTATATTGCCCTGGGACCTTTTGTCTATAAATTGGTTGTATGTCCTTTGTGTTGTGTCATAAATGATCTCCCTATTCTTGTAGTTCTGAAAGAAGTGATCTATTTTCAAATTATGGGATCCATATCCTACTTATCCAGTCAGGAAAACAAGGAGTTACAGTGATGGCAACTTTTCCTGCCCACCTTCTTTGACTGCAGATCAGCTGGCTCCAGCTTCAAGCAGTATAGCAAAGGTGAAATAAGAGAAGCCCGGTGTGTGTGGTGGGGAGAGCAGCTATTCTGAGCTATTCTGAATTACGTTTAAGTAACAAGGTTCATTTAGGGGGTTGCTGCTAGGTTTGTCAAAAGGCATTTGTCACGGCATCATGCTGCAGGCTTTTCCCTCCGGCCGGATTTCTGTGTACAGCATTCCAGCTCCGGACGCTGAATGGGCTTCAGGGCAGGTAAGAGCTACCAACTAAGCTTTGTAGTAGGAACACAGTAAATAAATTATCTCTATCCACTCCTGTGTGCATTGACCCCTGTTCTTCATAAATCGCTCTTAACCAGTGATTAAAATCCACATGCAATCCCTGCCTCCCCCCACCTGCTTTCACAGCCTCAGATGCATACAAGGAAATAGCCCAGAGAGATGCAGGTTTCATGTGTGCCCTAGCTGATAACATGAAAGCTCTTATCTCAATTTTAATCTCTTTGAAACTAAGAGAGTAAATACCCCAAAATGTGATACAATAGCTCTTCCTTTTTTTTTTACTAACTGATGCCATCCGTGGTCTTTCTGTAGGAAAGTCCGCGCGTTTCCTACTGCCCATCCTACCAAGAAGGTGTGTGCCAAAAGTATCATTTCTTCAAAAGGATGAAGTTGTGTTTCTGGAGGAGATGTCTTCTAGGAATATTACCTACAGTTTCTTTAACAGTTACAGCAATCCTGCTAGTCCTGCACTACTCACTCTGTAAGTGTTACTCCCAGCGTGGTCTGGGTGGGATGGATATTTCATACTGTGAAAAGCTCTGCACTAAGCAGCTGAGCTGCTTAGTTTATATATACACACATTATATACACATAATGTATGTATATAAACTGCTGACTTTGCCTTCTCCTTAATGTCTTTGCTAAAGCAACAAAATGCACAGTAATTAGCAGTTAGTAGTTGCACAAGAATATTGAAAGTGTGCATTTTATCTCTAATTATTTTTTTGTTTCTGCTCATGAATACCATCATTATTGGTATTAAGTGTTATCTTTTGCAGGAACCTATGGGAGTTATTTGTCTATTTTCTCTTCACTTTTTTTAAAAACAGAATGCATACCTAAATTGTTTATGTGCTTTTCCAAATGTCAACACACAGCCATTAAAACCATGCCTCTTCAAGATGAGAGCACCACAAAAAAAAATGGAAGATTAACATTGAAATTTTCCTAGTAGAAATGCCTAGCTAAACCTTTATCTCCTTATTTTCCTTTCCTGCTGGGCTTTACTCTGTCAGTGGGACTGGCTGAGTGCTGTAGCTATTACTGCATGTTTCTCTTAAGAACTAATACCTGCAAATGCCAAGGACAAGCACATCTGCAAGCCTCTTGTTTTGTAATGTTATTAGGTGTGCTATCTTTTTCTTTTTTTTTTTTTTTCCTCAGCTCCAGCTTTTTCCTTTACTTATATCAGTGGAAGTGTAGAAATTCCTAATTTGACTTATACAAGTGACCTCAATGATCCAACATCACAGAAGTTCCTCCTGCAAGCAAAAGCAGTCCAAAATTATGTAAGTTTCCACATAAGTAGAGCAATATTTTGTAAATATTTATACAGAATCAGCTGGGAATGAGGAGAAAACTTGGGTTAGCCTTTCTTTTTTTTTTTTTCCCTTGGAAACAGTAAGTTTAAAGCTAGCAAAAGCCTTGGCAGTTTTCAGTTTTAGAAATGCAGCTAGACAGATGGAGCTGTGTGTCTTAGAGTAAGAGGAATACTTTCTAGGTAATAAGTTTTCAGGGTTATGGAGAAATTGTCTTGAAGGAAATAGGAGAGTGATTGTTTTATTTTGCTTTATTCAAACTATCTGCCTTCTACATTTTTCTTTTTCTTTTTGATTTCACCTCCAGTTCAATGCTTCACTTTTTTTAATCTTCCTTACCATTCACAACAGTGCTTGCTTTCTTGCCCTTCTTATGAGTTTCTGTTTGTGAGATCAGTACTGTTTCCTAGGTACATGTGGGCAGCAGTTTAGAAGACAAAGCTGTTCTCTGTTAGCCTGAATTTCCCAAAAGAATTAATCTGATGTCTCAAAGCTGCTTTGTGCACAGCCAATACAAGTCAATCATACTGGAAGTTTAAAGACTGAAACAAAAATATAAATGTATTAATAAAGACTTTTTCGTGACTAAGTATCAAGAACTGTCTCAGTGGTCTTGAAATGTAGTGTGAAAAAGCAATTTTTTAGTGGAATTTAATGCAGATTTATGATCCTTACTTGATACATTTTGTGAAAATTATGGACAGTGCTTGTAATGTGGGGGAAGGCAGTGAGGAAGAAGAAAGAATGAAAAAGACAAGCACTTTATAGTGTTAGAGATTATATTGGCACTAGAATATAATGTCACATTTTCTTTTACCACTATTTCATTGTCAGTTGGCAGAAACATACGAATCTTCCTTCTTGGGAAAGTACTACTTGAAGTCTGTAGTGGCTACTTTCAGGTATGTGCTGTTCCAGCATATGGTAGAAATTTGAAATATTCAGCTGTGTTTTTCTCTGTTTTTTAATGCATTTAAAATAAGCTATCTAGAAGAACATGCACATTTCTGTAAGAGAATTAAAAAACGCAGAAATGCGTTTAAGTATATGAGCTAAGCTAACAGTATGACTTCTGTCCTGCCCTGTAGAATTGGTGAGATAAATGAAATCTGATTAATTGTTCCTGAGCCTATGAGTTGTTTTGTTGTCTATTAATCTACTTTTAATTTTTGAAATAACAATACAGCACTTGCATGATCTTATTTCAGTTTTGTCCATTCAAATGAAGATCTTTTTTAACCTCTGAAAACAAATCCTTAAATGTGTAACTTGGGGCAAAACACTATTTGAGTTCCTGGTAAGAAATGTAAATCCTTTGAACAGCAGGTTATTACAAACCTGGTACTTTATGAAGACCCTGAAGGTTCAGTGCACAGGCATTTTCAAAAGGATTGTGGTGGAATCACTGAAGTAATAATTTGTATGCATATGCTCAAGGTTTCTTTATTTCAACAAAAATTGTGCAAAATGCTGCATCAAAGTACAGACGTAAAATTGTGTTGTTGTATGGTGCTATCTTCCATTAAAAATATTAATTACAATGTGTCTGGAGTTGTTATATGATCTTAAAAGTGTATCCAATTTCATAAAAACTATTGTAGGATTTCAAGGTGTGATTTTTCAGTCTCAGTGTGTAGCTGGTTAAGTTGCTTATGTCAAAAATATTTCTGGACAGCAAAAATAATTGTTAAACGAGAGTTTTTTGTCACCATGTTTAGCAGCAAGTATTGGGCACAGAAATTCAGGTGGCTATGAAACTGTGCCGGCCAAAAATGCAGACCAGTAAAAACCATGTCCAAAACAGTAATTAGACTGCATTTATGATGATTTTTTTTTTTTTTTTTCACAGTGAAGGAGAATCTGGGCTTCGAGCTTATTTCTGGAATACATTCTGGGCACCACAAGATATGGTTGCTTCTCTTAAAAAATTAACCCCAGTGGAACAAAAAGAAATCTGTAGTAAACAAGCAGCTCCCTTGTTCAGTTCTGGGGAGGAGGATTTTGATCTTGATACAATGGAGCTTTTTGGTAACAATGTACCTGTCATTTAATACCTATTCTGTCTATTTTTCTTTCTCCACTTTGTGTCTTTGGCTTATGTAGCTGATAATTATTACATTTCAGTTTCAGATTCCATAGAATATGATGTGATGCTAAAATCAGGTAATTATGTTTCAATCCCAAGTGATACCACTTTGGGGGGGACATGGAATCCTGTGATAGAAAAATGGCATTTTTCCAGTTATTCTTATATCTGTAGGGCTTATGAACTAAACTAGACTATGGAATCTCCATGTGCTGTGTTTCAAATGAAGTCTGGATGAAAATACCTTACAGCTTTTATTCTGAATGGTTGAAATGGTTGAAATGTAATAGTTCCCACTGAATTGCAGTGAGCTGTGGCTCCTATTTTTGCCATCTCTAAAAAAACACCCCCTACCCCCGAAAAAACCACCAAAACCAAAACAAAACAAAAAAAAAACCAAAACAAAACAAAACAAAAAAAACCCAACCAACCAAAAAAAAACCAACAAAACAAACAAACAAAAAAAAACACCCAACAAAACCTCTAAAAAATTGTACATTATTTGGCTGGTGATTAGACAATTTTGGTTGTGTGTTGTTAGTGATCAGGCAGATAATGCAGAGCTTTAATTCACTTTGCCTGATTTCTTCATATCAAGCTCATCTCGAGATTTGTCTTCATGTACTTAGTGTTGTCACTGCACAGAGAGGGAAGAAGAGAAAATGGCAAAGGAAGCAGTAGGCGTGACACAGATATTGTAGCAATTGCAGCTGAATCAGTTCCTACTCATGGAATGTGCAAAGAGCTGGTGATGGTGAGGCTTTGTATGTCCTTGGCCAGAGCAGGAGAAGGTGATGCAGTCTGATAGGGAAAAGGGAACAGAGCTGCAAACATAAGAGCAAAAAGGGAATAGAGTAGTCAAGAAATGTGGGTAGGTGATCACTTCTACCTTGTCTGAAACCTTTCCCAAGAACTTATCTTTCAATCTAACAGTTTTTCCATACCGATCTACATTCTTTTTTGTAGCAGTATCCTTTGACCTGTATGCCAAGCCAGGTAACAACAGGACTCTAACTCTGATGAATCCCAAAAAGTCATTTTATCAATGGAGACTGCGAGTTCCTTCTAACTATGTGGTGAGACTGGTAGTTATCACTTTGCGTGGTGTTACTCCAGACAGCTGTGCATCACACCACTTGTCAGCATATGATTTCCTTCTTCCACTGCAGAACAAGATCATTACCAGGTATGATACACAGAGCAAAGATGCTTTACTGAGCTGTACGGAAAAATAATTGATGAAATGTAAGATTTGAAATACAACTTAATCAGAAGTCTTGGACAGCATAATAAAAAGATCTTCTAAAAGAGTTGGAAAGGTCTGATAAGGGTTTTCAAGTCCAACTCTCTGCTCCTCAGAGGACTACCAAAAACCAAACCATCTGACTAAATGCATTGTTCAGATGTTCCTTGAACTCTGACAGGCTTGGTGCCATGACCCCTTCTCTGGGGAACCTGTTGCAAATTTCTATGGGGTTTATTCTACACTATGACCAATTCTTAATGGGTTCCTTTCCATAAAATTACTCTCACAATTCAAAAATGTTCAGACTTTATTTTAGAGTGTTCTATTGTATTACTTTCAGAAAATGTATGTTTTATGGCAGTCCAGTCACAGCTGAAGTCCTGTTTATAACAGGAGGGTTGGAGGGCTCCGTCCTCAGAGTCACCCTGTAGTCTATTTGCATAAGTGAGTTCAGATGATGTTTAAATTTGAGTGGCTACACTGCTCCTACTTTTCAAATTTCATGTATGAGCACAAAGAATCTGTCTTCCCCAACCAAATAAATAAACAAGCTGTAGGATCTGAAGAAGGATGGTTTCAAGAGGGGAACTTTACTTAATTTTTTTATTTTAGGAACTTTCAGGAAGAGGTTAGCTGGGCATGAAGATTCGACTAGGAATCTGAAATGCACTCGTTTAGGAATGTTTTAACTTAATTGAATAGGTGGTCCTCTTCAGCTCTATTAATGTACTGATTGCTTCCTGTGCTCCATGCCAACAACAGATTGCCATTGTTGGCATGGAATACATGCAAGGTTTTTGTAACGAGTTACTCTCAAACTGTAGCTTAATGAGGAGAATCCTGTTTCTGATGTGGGCCTGCATCTGTTCTGCTACTTATTATGGATTATTGCTGCAACTGTTACTCCATTGTGCATTATTACCTCTGGCTCAGCTTTTTAGGAATCACAAATGTAGAGCTGGCCCTGAGCATTAAAACTCCCGGAAGACAGCAAGACCAACACATGTGTCTGATGTAACACATTCAGAGAACATTGATGCAGGAAGTGTAAGACAAAATTCAAGAATGTGCATTGCTATCTGTCTATTAAAGAACCAAAACAGAATTTGGTGACAAATTATGTAAAAAGCTTGAATGGTACCTCAGAAAGACCAACTGTTTTGGTTGCTTTTATTACCACTCTAGAAAATGTGTTGTTTTGCATATGTCTATTAGTTTTCTGCTTGGGTCAAAAGCAGCCTAGTGACATACTTAAGACACATACAGTAGGACTAATAATAAAGTATGTCCAATATCTATGACAGCCAGTAACTATAGTAGCCATTATTCCCTGATGTTTAGGTCTAGGCTCTCACATGGTGATTGAACTGGTTCTCACCAGTTTCTGTAAACTGCAGTAATACATCTGTTCAGTGACAAATCCTAAAGCATGTTCAAGCTGAGATGATGTGAGGTGTAAGACACGTGAGAGTAAGCATCTTATGTGGATTCCTCTTCCCATAGCTTGCCTTGCTGTTCTGATGATACTATGACAGAAGGTACAGATAGAAGATAAGCCAGGTTGTCAACTGGGTTGATGAAGATGCTGAAATATTTCTACATGGCAACATGGAGAGAACTTAAATTGTTATTTTATAAATGTTTTGTCAGCTATTATGATAAAAAGGATTTAATAATGTCTGCTGGAGAGGCAAAGCAGAGATTCATTCACTAGTGTCTCACTTTAAATGTGTGAAAGGAATAGCCTGCTAAAGCAGAAGACAATTACTTTCAATTTAAGGTTAAAAATTTTTACTTTAATGCTTTCAATTTGGATCTCAGTGACATCAGAGAACTTACTGCTGGGCTGTGATTGAAGTACTCTGTTACTGAGAGGTCTAACCTTAATTGCTTTCATTTGCTGTGCATAGAAAAAGAGAAACATGTTAGAAATTTTTAACACATAGATTCACAGATATCACAGAATATTCTGAGTGGGAAGTGACCCACAAAGATCATCAAATTATAAATAAATGAAAAAAAGTCAAAAATATTATGTGGGTTGCAAAATGGAATAAGCATAAGAGTGAATTTACAGATGCAAGAAATAGCATCTCACATTACAAGTAAAAGAACAATAGGAAGCAATAGCTGCCAAGCATGGGGCTTCACATTTTGTGTGATAGATTTTGTGACACAAAACCAGGCTAAACATGGATATATTGGGAATGTTTTGGGTTTATCTGTTGCAAGATGCTGCTCAACACTGCTGCACTGGCACTTGTTGCCTTTTCATTCCTAACTTTTGCTTCTCAGTGCCACTATCACTACTGAAGTAACATAATCTGGCTTCTGTAGGTAATCTGATGCTTCTATAGGTATGAGAACTCCAGGGCACTTGTTAAGCAAGAAAACTGTGATGTACACACAGAGTGACTAAGCCTCTAGGCTGGGAACTCCTAGCATCCCATGCACTATCAGCTGGGTGGAAGAATAAAAGGGAAGTGATAGCCAAGGGAATGCTACTGAAATGCAGATGCCCAGATCAGTGTTACTTCTGCCCAGTTTCCCAGCAAAGATGACAGGAATGTGGGAAATATTTGGGGGATTACATTTTTTAATGCATTTTTTTTTGTAACCTTCCAGATGGTGTGGGCCTGGGGCCTGGACTCCTTCTGTTGTGCGTTTAACTTCATCAAGTAATGTAATGTTGCTTACCTTCTCACTGGACCAAAGAGGAGAAAGAAACATATTAAAAGCTCACTTTCAAGCCATTCCTAAAATCAGTACGTAGTTAATGGGAACAAGCATCTAATGAAAGCACACACTTATTATTGTTTTTGCTTCTAAAAAAGTTGATATTGCCTTGAACATATCTGGAGGAGGGAATGTTGGCATATAAAGCAGGGAGTTACCATTCTGATCCACTTTACAAAAGACTGAGAACTGAACAAAGAAGAGAGAACATCCTTTGGTCTGAGAGACTTTGTCTTCCTGATAACTACTCAAGCCTTACTTGCCAGGCATTACATCGGTAACGCTGAGTAGTGCCAGCAGAGCAGCCAGCCAGCTAGAGGCACTGTCTGCCTAGGCAAAGTTAGATAGTCCCCATGACAGGGCAGCTACTTTTATTAGTTTTGGAAATGTATCCCCAGATCGTAGAATGTGTGTTTAAAGAAAATGGAAAACAAGAGCAAACACTTCTTATTTATCTTTGTTCTTTTTCTGAAAGCATTGCTCAATGCAGTTAACTGAATAAGAAAAGTGTGTTCCAGACCTAAGAAATACATTCCAAACCTATGGGGTACTATGGATTTTACATGGGTGCTGTGTGGTGAAATATTTTGAGTAATGCTAAACTGTAGTACTAATTATAGAAGGGATAAAAAGGCTTCACAGGATCAAGTTTAGCCACAGTTATTTGGTAAGGTGTAAGTGAAAGAGTTTTGACAATGAAGCAAGTGACTATTTTTTAACGTCTGGAACAAGTCACAGGGGATAAACTTGGACAAAGATGCCACATTTCAGCTTATGTCTCTCTGCATGCTGATTATCCAAATATTTATCCCATGCACATTACTAGTTAAAATGGCTTTATTGTTTTGAGGATGGGCATTTTGAATTATATTTAGCCCAGGTTTTGCTACAAGATTTTTTAATTTCAAAACTGTCTTATTTTCTGTTATGTTCATATTTGTATTAATTATATTACCTAAAGGGAACCAAAAGCACTAAGGACTGGATATCTAGGTGAGTCTTTGCTAGAAGATAAAATCTCAAAGGAATTGTTCAAATATGGCATGAATTTTCAAAGTGGAAACTGATGCATGAACTTCCTTGTTTACATTAAATTAATCAGTTTTAACTTCAGTGGGATGATTGCTTTTTAATTTTGAAAATGCATACATAAAAGTCAGAAGTAAATTGGAAGGGGGGTGTCCACATCTAGTTGCTTCTTTCACTTACCGTGAAAGAATGCTTTTTTAAAAAGGAAAAGCTTCAGTCAGAGGTTTTTTGTATTTACCTGTAGTTGTAATTTGATCCAAAAAATAAGAGAAATTCAGTGTTATGTGAAGGTAGAAGTTAAGTGATTTTCAGTTAATACAGGGAAAATGTTAGTTTAATACTGTCACAATGTATTCTTCTAACTGTAGTTAGAGAAGGGTCCTAGCAAGTGAAGTAGACTCTGCACTTTGGTCCAGCTGAGATAATTGTGTTCCTTGCTGATGTCTTTCTCTCCTAGTATGTGGTGGTCATTATACTTCCTGGAATGGGACACTAAGTTCCCCTTATTACCCAAGTTACTACCCACCAAACATTGACTGCACCTGGATCATCAAGGTAAACACTGGGAGCTCTTCTGAGTACTGATTACTTCTCTTTATCTTATGTGGACTCAAAACTGGGAGAAATGGCTTTTGATGTGGGTGAAACAGAGAGAAAACCTAGGGAGCCCACTGAACCTGACTTCTTCCCTGTCACCCATTTCTTTCCTGTTCTAGGTACAGGTGCCAACTATGGGAGGGAAATATTGCAAACTTCCAGAAGTTTGAGCATTATTTGTGACAGAAACAAATTAATGTGTAAGATGACAACTCCCAACAGCCAGAGAAAATTAATAATAATCAGGGCTTTTCTTCTATGTTAAAAAGAAAGAAATGATCATGTAAATCATGCCTCACATGATGGATACCACATTGTATTTCCCTGAATTCTGCAGGGGCAGGACCTTCTCTGGCTTAGAAATTCACCTCTGAATTTACAGCAAGTCCTTTGGCAAGGCTTAAAATCTGCTCATGATTTCTACCAACTGCCTAATGTGTTGGTCTATTGTTGCATTCAGCATTTAACTACTTTTTCAGTTTCCCTGGTAAAGGAGCCTTTTCATGTATATGACTTGATAAGTCTCTACCTCTCACAGTATTATTAGCAGCTTGTGGCAAAAACCTCTGACCTCTGTGCAGGACACATGGCATTACAAGCCTAGTGTGAACCTCAGATATAGTGCTTTATGCTGGCTGCAGAAACGCTTACACTTCATCAGGCACAGTCTCACCAAATATAGTCTAAAAAGATTTCTATAGATGTTTAAATTAGCAAAAGGTTCTTCAGAGCTGCTAATTTCAGTAGAAGTGCAGTACTTCCAATCCTGCAATAGGTAGAACACTTTGGGAGCAAAGGCTGTTACCATTTTGCGAATGTGTGTCAGGGGTTTTCTTTTGATTTTTAGGCACCATTGCCTGGCTACAAACTCTCAATAAAAATCCTTGTAATACAAATTCAAGAGAAGTCTCCAGGGTCCAGTAAATGTGATAAAGACTGGTTAGAAATTGATGGAGTTAGGTGAGTAAATACATTATTTTCTGGCATACTGATTTGCAGTTTGAGTTCTTGCACATTCAGGCATCCTGTATTTTTTCTTACAGATATTTACTTTTTCTTTTGTTCCCCTTAGAGCAATAATGTAGAAAACAACAGGATTTTATGCAGCTGCAGCTGAGCTGTAAATTCCTGGCTGTGGTCTTGATGTGGTTGAAGAGTTTGTGCAATCAGAAGTTTAATTTTCTTTACCACTTGCTCTTCAGGGATTGTAATTGTTACACAAGCACTAAAAATAAAGCTATTCAGAGAAATTTGTCTCTTGGAAGGAGCATATTGAAACAAGCAACAGCTGTTGGGTTTGGCTGGATGATTTAATCCTTTCCTGGATGTGGAACTTTTGGGTTTGCAAACCTAAATGGGCAATCTGAAATCAAGCATGCTTGAAGTAGTTTGTGTTCATAAGGTAAACCCTGACACTGATCATCTCGCTGTATCTTGTTTCAAAGTCCGTTAATCCCAAAAATTTGCAGAGTGGGAGAAATTATTAAATAGGCTTTCTAAAACTTTAATTGGACAATTTTTAACACCAAAATACAGCTTATCCTTATTGCATTGTCTTAAAAGTTTTTGACATCACCACCACTCAATAAAAGGAGACATAGCTGGGTGGTAGTGGTCAGTTTGGTTAGAAATTAATATTTCTCACTTTTGCCTTGCTAGATACTGTAAAGCTCTTTCAGAAAACAACAGAAACAGAGAATATGGCTATTCTGTTGAAATCAACTTCCATTCTGATGAGCTGGTCACCCACAGAGGGTTTTATATTGAATACAAAGCTTTCAGTCACACAGACCGTAAGTTATTAAGCACACGCTTTAATTTTTAAGGAGAAACCTTTGAGAAACTCTGCTTGACAGACCAATTGTGTACAACTCAACCTGCCTATTTTCTTAACCTTATTGCAGGAGACAAATGTATAAAATGTTATGTCTTTAGTTGACCAAACAGAGGTACAAATTTAGATATAAGGTGCATTTAGGAGCTAGCACTTATTTTCTAACTTTTATCAACATTTCTGTAAAATAGGGAGTAAAAGTAAAATTTCTCAATTTCTGTAGATCTATTTATATGGCACTTTGTTGACACCTTAAAATAGCCAAGCTGCAACATGAAAATAGAATGGCAGAGGGCCTCTAAGCATGACTCTTGCCAACAAAAAATAACCATGAATACTTAATCTTCTCTTTAAAATCACAACTCAAGGTGCTCTAGATCAGTTTTCAAGTTTAGACAAACTATTTTAAGTTTTACTGGCAGTCAAAGAGGACCCCTTGCTAGAACATGTTGCAGAAATACCTCTGGGTTTTTTATGGGCTGTTCCTAACTCCCCAGTCTATGTACTTCTGGAGCAATGTTAGATTTTGGGGGGCTTCCAGATGATGGAACAGGAATTTTCAGGAGATACACATATTTACTTGTGACACTTCTTAGAAAAGATACAATTTCAGATTTTTTTTAAATGCCTGGGGTTTATTTTACCCAATTAATGTCTGGGTAGATAAAGCTCTCTATGATTTCAAGAGAAAATAATTTTGCTTCATTTTGAGAAGCCTCTTCAAATTCTCAGCTTGCTTGTCAGAATGTAGTTCTGTTCATTGTTGACATAGAAGCATTTAAGTAGTAAGGTTTCTGGTAAAGATTATTGTTTCATGCCTTCACTCTAAATAAGTGGCACATTTTGTGGTCAGTCATTCTATAAGACTCACAAATTTTCAGGGATTTCTTCTTCCACCAATGTGGGTCTCTTTCTACTAGAAAAGGTTACCAACTATTTTTAGTTCTATGGTTACTCTGGTTGCTGCCTCAAAAATAGTTTAGAATCTAAGCCTAAGAACACGTTTTTTAATGGAGAAAATCCCATCTTTATTGTGTGTATCTGTGTGCTCTGCTTCTAGCACTGAGCCAGCAAGCAGATGGCTCAAAGTTATTTAATCAATTCTTAGTCACAGTCAGGAGACTCTATAAAGAGTCATCAGGAGGAGTGGAATAGCTGTGATGTGTCAGTACCAAGTTGATGCAGTAGTTTGGGGAAGGCTGTCTGAGATATGAGCATGGATTGAGAGCGCTGGCCTATATCAGCCTTGCCTGCAGCAGTAGTAATAGGAGAAGGAAAAAAATAAATTCGTGTTTTCCCACGTCTTTAGTACTTGCAGTCACCCACCTGAGGTTAGTTTTTTCTCATTGTAGAGTGCCTATCAAAGCACAGTTATTAAAAATCACAGGTACTGCTCTGAAGTGTCCTGGAAAACAAATGCCAGCCATCAGCTGGACGACTTCAGGCCTGGAGAGGTGACAGGAAAATGGAGACACTCCTGCTTTGAGCTCATGCTGGCCGGGTGTAGTGTATGCGTTCCTCCCACTCATATCACATGCAAGGAAATGAAGAGGACTAATTTACTCCAGGTTGGAACTGATTAGACAACTGTGGGACGAATGGATTTGGTACTTCAGTGTGATTGATGCAGCTCTTAATTTGCCCATGGTGCTAAATGGGAGAAAGTTTCATATGACTTCACTTGGGCAGGAAGAGGAGTAAGTTGAGCTACTTAGTCTTTCAGAGACTTTTTTTTCCTTCCACATCTGAAAGAGTGAAAGAGAACAAATATTTTTTATATATTGGAAAGAAATAACTTAGCATCTATACTAGTAGTTAGTTTATATGAAGTGAAGGAAATTCTTGGTCAAGGGCTGTTTCATAACAAGACTGCAAGTTTTGGAAAGTGTTTGATAAAGTACTTTTTCACACCAGACATTTAGTGTAGTAACACAGAGATTAATTTTTACAGAATTTTAATATCAGGAAATACATATTTGTAATACTAACAAGAATGCCTAGTTTTTGATTTTATTTTCCTTCTCCTTAGATGCTTCTGTATTAAATACACTCCCTTAACAAATTAAAGAAATGCTTCCTATCAGTAATTATATATCTGTGATGAATGACTTCCAGCCCTTAGAGTAGAGGCAATTAATGTGAATTTTATCTGCTAAGTCTATTTAGGTGACTCATTTAATACAGGCTGCTTGATAAAAATCTTTGACAGATTGTGCCACGTAAGATATTTCTTTTTTAATATTCAATTTAAGTTACAAATTACACAAACTTTAATTTTTAGTAGTAATTTTAATATTTTTTCATAGTAGAGTCCTGCATTACTGCATTGAGACTATATCAATATTTCTAGGTGTCATTGATTTCTTATTTTTCTAGCTTGTCCTTAGATATGCAGACAAAATATGCATTCCTTCAAGAAATCAGTGTGAATGCTGGAAAAGCTGCCCAGATGGTAGTGATGAATTGGATTGGGGTAGAACAATTATTTCTCGTTACTTGTTTTCTGTAAAGAGTTTCTTCCACAAAGTTGAGACATGGGCTGAAATTATCTCTAAAATACTGCTGGCAACCTTTAAGATCACATGAAGCCTGTGGGTGAAGATGTAAAAGTATGGAAAAGAGGCTGTGTAATGTATCTCTTTAAAGAGTGGGAGAACAGAAAAATCAAGAGGGAATTTTACACCAATCTTTATAAGCTGACCTTCCGAAGGAATTAAAAATGCACAAGAAGTAGCCAAAGGAAAGTAAACTATTTGTAACTAATGGAAAGAATATTAAAACCAGCATGAAGATTTAAAATTTTGTTTTAGTTCCCTGCTGTGAGAGGATAAATAGATAAGTTGTACTTTAACACTGTCTTGTGTGACAAGATCATCAGTAAGTAAAGAAAATGTGGGGAGAAAAAAAAAAATACCGGAAATTCTTTCCACAGAACAATTGGTCAAGGCTCATTACCAAAGAAGAAGGACATTTTTAATGTCATTCTGCAAATGTTGTTATGGAATGTCACATAATTTTTGTTCATGATCTAAATTATGGATTAGAGTAGATGCTTATGAAATAGGAAAAGTGTCACACAATAGAAAGGTGGAAGTGTTTTAGAGGGATTGTTTTAAGTGTTGTAAGTGTTCCTGAGAAGCTGTAGAATATATATGGAGAAAAATAAAGACAAGAATATGAGTCAGTGGTGCCCTGGCAGCCAGGAGGGACATCCATGTCCTGGGGGGGCATCAGGCACAGCATCCCCAGCCAGGCAAAGGAGGGGATTGTCCTGCACTGGGGCAGCCTCACCTTGAGTGCTGGGGGAAGTTTTGGGCACCACAATATAAAAAATAGTTATCTATTAGAAAGTATCCAAAGTGGGGTAACAAAGATGGCAAAGGGCCTCGAGGGGAAGCTGTATGAGGAGCAGCTGAGGTCACTTGGTCTATTCAGCCTGGAGGAGACTGAGGGGAGACCCCATTGCAGTTACAGCTTCCTTGTGAGGAGAAGAGGAGGGGCAGGCACTGATCTCTGCTCCCTGGTGACCAATGACACTCCCAAGAGAATGGTCTAAAGTGTCAGAGGAAGATTAGGTTGGATATTAGGAAAAGGTTCTTCACCCAGAAGATGACTGGTCACTGGAACAGGCTTTTTCCAGGGCACTGGTCACAGCTCCAAGGCTGCCAGAGCTCAAGAAGCATTTGGATGATGCTCTCAGGCACAGGGTTTGACTCTTGGGGATGGTGCTGTGCAGAGCCAGGAGTTGGACTGTGAAGTTGATCCTTTTGAGTCCCTTCCAACTCAGAATACTCTGTGATTCTGTGAAGAATGTAGATAACTAAACAGACATGTGGATTGCCTAAGTTGCTTTTTTTGCTAAAAAATGTCTAGGGGGGATGATTATTGCTCAAGAGATGACTTGTGAGTCAAAGTCACAAAACACTTTGTGAATTTTTCTTATATTTGGTGTTTTGTTGGTTGTCTTTGTTCTGGGCTTTTTTAAGTGTCACTAGGATGTAAGACAGGAATTTGAAAATACCTTCCCAATCACCAGTGGGAAGGCTTCAGCTAGAGTATTGTACCTGAATTAGGTATTGCATGTCAAAGAAGATAGGGAGCGTTCAAAAGATGCCAGAAACAGTGAGCAGAAGGGAATCCAAGGCCAGAGAGTACAGCACAAGTCTCTCTGTCACTGGATGCTATCAAAACCGAGGTAGATAAATGTCTGACAGAAATGGCACAGAAACATCCAGGTGACTGACCTCTGGCAGGGAGTGTAGCATGTGGCTGTTGGTCTGCTGTTTACATTAGAAATTTACAGACTCTTATTTTCTTCAGGTTGTAATCCAGAACAATTGAACTGTGGTGATGGGAAGTGTAAACCTCAGTATACGTCTTGTAAAGATGATGACAGCTGCAGGCAGGACAGTGATGAAAACAACTGCTGTAAGTATGTATTTTTAGCTATTTTCCAAAAGATGGTGGAAGTCAGAAGCATGCATATTTTAATGGTTAAATGTGTTGTTTCTAGATTATTTTTTTTCATGTCACAAAGTAAAACTTTCATAATAGTGAATACAAATCATGCAGAATAAAACTAGGTTTTGGGAGAGTTTAGACAATGAAGAAAAATCTAAGATAAAAGGGATTTTAGTAAGAAAACCAAACCACATTTTGCTGGTGATCCTGTTGGAAGAGCACTTTTCCCCCACTTGCTGCCGGATCAGTACCACATAATTTAAGGGAGACATAGTAGGCTGCAGACTTTCACCACATTGATGATCTTTTTACTGTAGATCCACAATAGTTGTGGACATTGCTGGTACCACCAGTGGCTCCTTAGTGATTTGCTGCATTTTGCTTATATAATTTTTGTCTTGCTTTCAATCTTGGGGTAGCCAGGAGTAAATCCTTGTTGGAAGAAACCTACCTCTCGCTGTTTAGAGGTCCTTGTGAACAAGTGGTAATAAGAATAACAATAATAATGGAAGCAAATTGCTGAGATATATCAGGATTCTCACATAGTAAACTGTGATAGTCCTTAGTCAGAAATTTATTGGAGGGAGGTATAAAGCTCTCCCACAGTTTTCTCAATTTCACTTGAAAATGAAAAGATGCTGTGAAGATTTATGATTTGTAATGCCAGTAGTGCTGGTGAAGGCAAAAGAACAGAACTGAGAAGACACACTTATTCAATTTAGAGTTATGTAAAATGGGAGTGTGAACAGTTGGAGGGTTCTCTTTTTCCTCAGGGACAATGGAAACTGAAATTAGTGTGGTCATTAATTAGAGTGGATCAGTCCCCTGTCCCCTCTCCATAGAGGGACCAGTTTACACCAGTATAGACTACTACTTAGAGCAGGCTAGAATGTGTAGCTTTGAACAACTTGCTGAATGTGCAAGGTTTTGTTAATAATTTGAAAGTGTGACTCCAAACATGTGACACTATCTTCTCTCTCTTATTTCAGCCTACAAAAGTTGCTCCCCTTATGCATACAAATGCCTCAATGGAAAATGCTTGCTGAAACCAAATCCTGAGTGTGATGGGAAAAGAGACTGCACAGATGGATCTGATGAAATGAACTGTGGTGTGGTAGCATTTATTTTAAAATTTGTTAGTTACTTGGGAAACTAAGTCAGCAATTTATGTTATTATTAAGCATTATTGGATTAAGAATTAGTTAAATCAAATATGAATTAAAAAAAAAAATAATTTCCTGGTAACACTTTTTACAAATGTCTGTCTTGCATTTTGCACTGTTTCTTTTAAATCCACTCATCCATTCTATCTATGGTGACTTATTTCAAGCAATGCGCTTCCAGGATAAGCTGGTAGGTCTTTCTGCTTTTTTAGAGCTGAATGAAATGCAGTCAAGGAGCTGTGTTTGTAGTAGGAAAAAGAGACAAGAATTATTCAAATGAACTTTTAAATTTTGCTTAATCTCTTTTTGAGTTACTCAGCTCTTTGGAAAGCTACAAAGGAAGATAGACAATGATTGCTTTATATCTGACCTGCCCTGATTGAGTGAAAACGGGCAAGTACTCACCTTTTTACCAATTGCACAGTAAGGTCTAAGGGTAAAAGTTTGTGTCAAGGATGGCAAAGTGAATTAACCAGTGGGCTTTTTACTAATTTATTAAATGATTTCTTGTTAGCTTGTGGAAGACGCCTGCTTAAGAAAACCAGAATTGTTGGAGGTGAAGACGCGAGATCTGAGAAGTGGCCTTGGCAAGCGAGTTTACAGATGGGGGCACACGGCCACGTGTGTGGTGCATCTGTGATTTCCAACAGGTGGCTCGTATCTGCTGCCCATTGCTTCCTGGATTCTCATTCTGTGAGGTACGAAGAAATTATACTGTTCCAGAGCATCTGCAGTTTAATAACCTTACAAAGTTGCTTTAGTAGTTTGCAGAAGCTATTCCTTGTCTAGATAAGTTGATCCACATTATAACTTGGTGATGTGACCTCACTACATAAACACTACATAAAAACTCAGTGTTTTCTGCTGGCTTCGAAAGTCTTAAATATTTGCAGATATTCTTTGCTGAAGCTGCTTCCATTGCCAGTGAATCCTCCATGTAGAACACTGTTCTGTTAGATTTAGGGTAAATGCAAATTTTTCTCCTTCTTTTCAAAAGGCAGGGGTTTTCTGAGTTGAAGTACGGCCTTTTATACCAAGACATGTCCTATTTATTGATCAATGAGTGAAAACCTCAGTGATGTCACGTTTAGCTAGTGCAAATTGAAAATGCATACCTCCTTCATGTGGTAAGGAAGAGATAGAGTTTAATTATATACTTTTATGAGTTCCAAAGCATGATGCATAGCAAGGAGTCGGTCTTATAGCTCCAGGAAATTAATTAAGTAAAAACATTGCTTAATGTTTTAGCAGACAGAGACTAGAATGCATCTATCTTCTGAAGTCATATTCTACTCCATGCACTTTGGTTTTGATGAATGTCCTCAAACACTGAAAAGTAGTTAAAATGGAGCAAACTAACACTGCATTGCTTTCCAATGGGACGTTCTAAAACCATTTTTTTTACAGATACTCCGTTCCAATGGGATGGAGAGCATATATGGGCTCACATACTATTAATGAAAAGAGCAATCGTGTAGCTGTGAGATCAATCATAAGGATTATTGTCCACCCACAGTACGACCAATCTATCTCAGACTATGACATTGCCCTGTTGGAAATGGAGACACCTGTACTCTTCAGTGAGCTGGTACAGCCCATTTGTTTACCCAGCACCTCTAGAGTATTTCTTTATGGAACTGTCTGCTATGTAACTGGCTGGGGAGCCATAAAAGAAAATAGTATGTTCATTTCCTGGATATACTTTATGCAAGTTTGTTAGTTTTAAACTCTAATAATGGAATATTTATACTTGTATGCAAAAAAAAGCCCCAACCCTTGTAGTTTACTTAGTATGTCTATAAAAAGTCAGAAAAGATCTCTTAGCTACAGTCTGTGAATTCTGAATGATTGCTTGGGTGGTAGGTGATAAGTGACAAAATGCATACTCAGGTGTCACAGACCATTGAAAAACAAATTATTCTAGATTTACAAAAATGTGCCCATTTTCATGTTCATGACTCATTTTATCTGGTGAATAGAACCTTGCAGGTAAAGAGATCAGTAGCTTGCAACTATTGCAGTGAAATAATTCGTTTGTGATTGACAACAGAGCCATAAGCAGCAATAATTGCAAAAGAATGTGGAGGATCTTTTATTTTCTCTGTCTTAACCAAAGGCAGTTTGAAGTATGTCTCATGAGGAGTTCTGCCTCTGTGTAGCTTGGAGCAGCCAGCTGCAATGGGGAGGCAGGAAAAAAGCACCCTGAGTTAGAGAGGGGCGGCAAGGGAGCCTGTGGGATCCTTGCTCTGTCTCAACATTAAACAGCTTGAAACCTGGGCTTGGGCAGTATCTCAGCACATCAGAGGTGTCAGGATATTTAGCTCACAAAGGCATCTTATGTCAATACCACAGTACAGAATTAAGATGTTACCATAATTTGTAAGTTATAGACAGTTCTTTGGGGTTTTTTTAAATTATTTGTTTTTCCACACTCAGCTTTATTATCAGTTTCTTCCCTAGAACTGTGAAGATGGAAAACAATATAGAAATTGCCTTTTGTAGGACTTGGATGTTGTTTGTAGCACAACCATGGTGTAAATAATAACAAAAAGCTTCAGACATAATTTGAAATGGCATTCAAATTCAGTCACCCTGTGTGCAGTCTTATCTTACAATTTGCATGGCACTTTTACTACTTTCTGGCAGAATAAGGTCATAAGGATAAAGTCTAGGGAAATGGAAAGGTGGTGCATTGGAACCTCTATGGCTATAGCATAGTGTGGACAACAGCTTTCAAAAACTAGGGCAGGCACCATTTGAAGGGAAGGGAATTACTCTGCTGTCATTAGCTGGGTAGAATTTGAGTTTGAAGTAATCCTCCTTTGTTTTGATAATTGATATCTCTATAAGAAATTTGTGCCACCTTTGCAATAACATTTGTATTTTTTTCTAGGTCATCTTGCCAAAACACTGCAGGAAGCTCAAGTGAGAATGATTAACCAAAGTGTTTGCAACAAGCTCTATGATGATCTTATTACTTCACGTATGCTGTGTGCTGGGAATCTTAATGGTGGTGTTGATGCATGCCAGGTAATCTGTAACTGGTAGGAAAACTACAAAGTAATGTTTGCTTTCATTGGCAAGCTCCTCAGAGTTTTAGGTTGTTTATGTGGTGGGTTTTTTTCTTTGTTGGTTTTTTTAATTGAGATGTCTTGAGTGTGAGTTTAGGGTTAATTAAACATAGCAACTAAAAGCCCACCAAAATAAGGAAGAAAATTCATCATAGATAATGTCTGACTCTTGAGAAGTATCATTTTGCAAAGGCAAGGGGTAAAATGTGTTGAGAAGAATTCTTTTTTATCTTCAACACTTATATGTCGTACAAGAGAACAAAAATATAAAGATAAAAGGAATCATCTGTGATAAAGGGCCCATTGGTGAATTATGCTATTTTTATTAATTTCTTTTTATCTTTTGTTAATATCTGGGTATGGAATTGCTAAAATATTCTAAAAGTATGATGAGTAACATATTGTTACAGTTGCAAAGAAATATGAAAGGAAAAGCTAAGCTAGGTTTTGGAACTGCAGCTGCAATGGTGCTATTTAATATCAAACATTCATTCATGTGTGTAATTACAAGTTGTGACTACATCACAGTAGTGTAAGTTACGAAACCCAGCTTATTTACACACACAATCAGAAACTGCTTTTTGGTCATACCACCTGTCCTGACTCTGTCTTCTTTCTCCTATTGCAGTACTTGTGTACTTCATTGGTGTTAATATTTCTGATAATGAGTATCAACTTTACAAACATGTTTTTTATTCCAGTTACCATGTAAAGAGGATAGAAATTTGTTACTGATTATTAGACTGAGGCAATTCGGTATATTTTTTGAGTAATATATAAATTTTATTATTTTAATGCAATAGGGTAACTTTTGCAAGATTGTAGCTCATGATGGGTCAAACCTCTTTTACACAATAGACTATTTGTAGAATTTTCTTGCAGTGTCTAAGAACTAATTAAATTAATTAGTATTTTTATTTACATTATGTAGAGTTTATCAACAAACTGTGACCTTGGAATTGTTTTGTTAAAATATGTTTATTTGTAGGGGTGATGTTCCTCCAAAAAATGTGCTGCTTAAGAAATGCCCTTGAATTTTCAGATGGGCATTTTTAACAAATTCAGCTGCATATCATGTATTCAGCTGGCCAGTTTCCAGCATGATACACTATGTTTGAGTTCTAGCATGTTGGACCTATGGGTCTTAAAGTTCTTAGTCTGGGTAGCATTTTTGCATATTTTTTTTCGTTTCTGTCACTAGTATATATTTTATGTAATATATAGTATGTGTTTTCTGTACAGTGTTAGAGAGGAATGACACTGGGAGTTCAGGAAACCCCCTGAACTTAGCAGCCTAAGCCCCCTTTACTATGCTTTCAGACTTGTGATCATCCTGTTTGGTTTCACTTCGTCCTGGACATGTATGTGGTGCATATATTGCACAAGTTAAGTGAAGCTTCCAAATACCTTCCATCTTTAGAGGACCTGATACATCAGAAATAAAAACTTACACTTTCAGACTGTTTTCTTATCACTCTAGGATGTTCTTTGGTCTTGGTTCCTCTGCTTAGGAACCAAGACCTCATTCCTCTCCCCACTGGCATACAGCCTCTTTGGTCCTTCAGAACTGGCTGAGTAATTGGCAGGACTATGCAGACTCCTTTGTCAAGTCACTTTGACATCAATCTCTTGGATTATCAACATTTCTAGTATGACAGCAGCCTGAGTGGAAGAACTCTGGCCTCTTCTTTTATCTCTAGATAATTTTGTGTCACCATAATAGATAATTTTGTTTGGTTGGGAGATGAAAGCTTTCTGTTATTATTCTTTAATCAGTACGTGGCTTTCTCCTGACCTTGTACATGTTTTGGCTGCAGCTGGGGGCTCAAACAAATCCCAGGGTCAATTTGGAGGCTGCTTGACTGCCTTGTGTGCATTAGGAAGTGCTGCAGAGAGGAGCTGCACTGTAGTTGCCCAGAGTTCTGTGAACAGACCAGTTCACAGACGACATACAAGGTTAAAGCAATGAGAGGCAAAAAAACATTGGTGAGCCCAAATGCATTTCAATCCTGTGAGCTGAATTGAATGGGAATTGTTATTTTTCTACATTGCTGTGCAAACCTGCATGTTCCATTTGAGAAGCCAGTTCTTATTTGCACATTCCTTAGTCTTTGTTCCTTCTTCTTCCCCTTCAAAGTAGTCAACTGTTTGTTGGCTTTTTTTTTATTTGGGGTGTGTGGTATCTTTCTGTTCCTGCTTAACACACAGTAAAAGAGATCTGCTTCAACCTGTGAACAATTTTTATTCAAATTGTAGTAGAATTCCCTATTTCCATCCATTTCTTTTTCTCTCCCTTTTTGAGATGTGGTGTTATTCTATGAATCCTGTAACGGGACATTATCAAGGAGTAATTTTATAAACAGCTTCTTGCCATTGGCTTTATATTGATAAGTGTGCTACATCCATAAGTTAAAATAATTGAATAAATATGACATCTGGTTGGGTACATTATATCCAGAAGTAAGTTTTAATTAATACTAAGTTTTCATTTGAGAAAAGGAGGGGCATGTATTTACTGTTCTTAAATAGTTTAATTTTTGTTGCAGTGCTCTCTGTGTGTGCACTAATGGCTGAACTTCATTTTAGGGAGATTCTGGAGGTCCCTTGGCCTGCTCAGGGAAGGGCAATAGGTGGTACCTTGCTGGCATTGTGAGCTGGGGTGAAGGGTGTGCCCGGCGCAATCGTCCTGGTGTGTACACCAAGGTGACAGCCCTTTATGACTGGATCCGTCGGAACACAAACTGATGAGCCAAGGAGAAAATGCAGATCACCTCTGTGTGAAAGCTGCTTCCTACTGTAGTCAATTTGATGATACAACATGAAAATGCCATTGACTGCTCCTTTGTGAAAGTACACACTTTTTCAATGAAGAAACTATCATTTGTGGTTCACCTAGCAATAACTGTCCAGCCTCAGAGGAACTTCAGATTCCTTATGGATTCATCTTCCTTATACCTATTTGCAGAAACAGCACTGCATTAAAAACAAAATGAAATGGATTAGTACCTGTAACAAAAGTCCAGCCATAGCTCATTTGTAACCCTTCTCCTCTCCCTCCTCGTCCCTTGTTATCTGTATTTGTTTTCACATATGCATATCTGGATAAAAATGGCCACATGCCATATATATTCCACTCTTTAGGGATGTTACAGGATTCTAAACATAAATAATTATTTATGTTCTCAAAAATATGAATAATGTATCGTGTACAAAGCTGAGATTAATTTGTTCTAGTTATGTGCAACTGCAGGACTTTTACATTCTGGGCTGTAACCTTTGGGATCTCTACTGTGTTTTCTTAAAAATACCAGATATATAGTTCAAAAATGTTAGGATGCAAGAAATTTTCATTAAAGAACTGGAAGAGCATAATTTAGGTTCTTTGGGATGATGTCTAAATAAAAGGAAGGAATTAATGAGTTGTAATTCATTAAAAAAAGGAAACTATAATTCTTTCTTAAATTCTCTTTAGAATTTGAACTAACTGTAGGGTTTAATGTTTGCAATATGTTGCAGATGTATTTTGCCAGCTGTGGTGCTGGCATGTATTGTGAATTTTTAGCATGTTCCTGGTAGATTAGGATTGTTTTTTCTGCTGTCCTTGGTCCACAGTAAGCAGAGTTTCAGGCCCAGGAATTTTTTTTTTTTTGTGTTTCTTTCTGGGCTGTGCCCACAAGGCCACGCTAAATTGAAATGGACATAGAATGAAAATGAAATTATGTGGTTGGATGCATCCTTCAGCTCAAAGAAAGTAAAAGAAGAAATGACAGCCACATTCCTTTAACCCTGGTAGTAAATCTAGGTTTTATAATTTTAATCTCTTGATGAGCTTATCACTCCAGATCTAGCCAATTTAAGGTTTCCAAAGCTGTTTATGGGACTTCAGAATACCAGTACTTAGCTTAATAAAATAATTGTTTAGATGGCCTTAAGACCATTTAGTTGATCTTTAAGTTGTGCTTAATATTTGGAAGTGTTTAGCTTTCACCTTTAATATATATATTTTAAAAATGAAGCTGGCAGTTTCAACACCTTTTATTGCTGCACACTTCCTCTGCAGTACATAAGTGAGATCTTTGTTTCACATTAGACCCACCTTGGCAGCGTGTGGGGGAAATGTTGAAAAGAACCAGCACTGTAATCTGCATGCAGTGAGATTCCTCCTTCTAACCCTGCCATTGCTTTTCCTTCCTTTATCCTGCCGGGCATCTTGTCCCAGTTCATGTCAAATTTACAGCATAAGCTATGTTCAAAGCCTGTATGTTAGGAGGTTTGTTTCTCTAGTGGCTACTCAATTATTCACACCTTCCTTTTTAATAAACACATGCTAAAACTGCAAGGGGCTGTGTTTTATTTGTTTGGATGGGCCTTTGAAACTCCAAACCCCAGGTTCATTAGAGCTTGACAAAGTTCAAGTGCCTTGGACTTTCCTCTTTTTGTAAAGCTGAGCTCAATGTGCCCCTGTTACTAAAGAGTACATTTAGGGGCACAAGTTTCTTTTCCTTTTGCTGAAACCAGAAATATCCTGCCTAGGGAAGAAAACAGCTTTCCTGCTATTCTGTTTTAGATAAAAGCCTAGCCTAGAAAGTTCAGCTCATTTCTTGACTTCTCATTTTCTCAGAGTTTCTCAGCAACTTGGCAGAAGGGTCAGTATTTCACATGGAAGAAATGCGCCAAGTGTGGAAGTTAGATCCCCCAGATGAAAGACTTTAAGAAGCTTCTTCACAAATATGTAAAATAAAATAAGGACTTTGGCCTTTGCATGGTGAGATCTGTATAATCATTAACTCTTTGTCTCAGAGGAACAGTTTTGGTTTCAGTCAATCCAGTAGGGAGGTCTACTGTGAATGGAAATTAATGAACCTGATACCCAGCAGGAGAAGTGAGAACCAGATAGTCTTTTCTAGTGTAAGATGTCCTAAGTAAGACTTTGTAGATCCAGATACATGTTCTCATCTTGATGACTGCTCAGCTTCACCTTCAGTCTTCCAGAGCTTTAAGGATTCTCAGAACCAGAAGGTGTGGGGTATACAAATTTGTATTTCCTTTTACTTGTGGAATAAACCCAAGTCGTGCTCACTTTCATGGAGTGCCTTTGCCTGGATGGGTGTGAGGTGACATCAGGAATGCAAACCCTGGGTGTGCTTCAGGTGGCAGAACCAAGGTGAGTCTCACAAAGGAAAAACTGAGGTGTTGGCAGGACAAAAGAGTGGTGCTGTGAGTGGATACCCAGGCAGGAGGGAAGGGGGCTGGGGAGAGAGGCTGTGTTCGGTTTTTAATGCATGATACTCCCTGTGCTGGGACAAAAGAGTGAGCAAGGATGTGGTTACCAGCTGTCTGTCCAGACCTTTTGATTCAGAGGGGAGAGAGATGCCCTGTGGGGAGGAAGGAGAAACATGGGGATGGAGTGTGAACAGGAGAAATAAGAGGAGGTAGGGATCAAGGATATTGGGGAGGCTGGGTTTGTAATCAGCCCCTGGCTACAGTGAGGTGCTGTGACTGATTCCAAATGCCCTTGAGAGTTCCTGTGGGAAGCTGGCACAGACCAAATCACCACGGTTTCATAAAAGCGTGTCCTCCAGAGCACAGGTTGAAATTGAAGGCCATCTTTCTCTTTTCTTTAGCTATGTCCTTTGGGTTTATTTTATCTTAAAGCAGCTTCTCAGGTTTGGTTGGATAGTATGTTAAAGCACGTAAATGGTTCTTTGAGACCAGATATGATTTTAGGCAGTATAATAGCTAGAGGGAGAGCAATTTCCAGTACAAAGGTCAGTAATGTTAATTTCTTTATTGACTATAGAGGGAGACTAGAATTACAAGTGTTGGCAAGAGTCCCAGCCTAATCAAACAACATGCTCTATGAACTTTAACTCACTTTGTTCTGTTCAGCACCACATCTGTTTAGCTGCATGGATAACAGTAATAACATTATATTGCTTTGGCTGACAGCAGCAGAGAAAACACTCGGGTTCCTTTGAAAATCGTCCCAGCAAATGACAGCGTTGCTGAAGGTTTAGTCACTTGCTCATCAAGAGCTGGTACAGGAAGGTAGGCAAACTGGAAAACCTAGTATTGCATAGCTGAGAGCCAGAGTTCTCACGGCTAAGCAAATCGATACTTCCTCCGCCTTCCCTGTCTCTGCAGCTAGGGCAGTCGACTTTATTTGTTCTTCCAAGGAATTCCCCTAATTTAGCAGTATTTTGAGACCTCTCTTTGGAAAACTATCCCCACTCTCCCTGTTTCCAGCCTCGTGCCAGAGCTATGACTGAGCATAACTGCAGCTGAAACAAGAAGGAAATGAGTTGGCTCCGTGCTCACTTCAGAGACAGAGGACCTCGCAGAGGCCCTTCTTCAGAGACAGAAGCAATGAAAAGGCAGAGCTCTGCTCAGGAGCATGAGATTATTGAATTACGGGGACATAATGTGGAGGAAAATGAGACTGATCATGACAAGGCTCTAAATGCTCAAATGAGAAAGGTAGGAATTTCACTTGCTCATTTGATCCTTCCGGTGCGGGAAATACCACACAGCAAGAGAAATGACACTTGAAGGAATGTTTTGTAGGGGTGATTTAATTTGTTGTTTGAGGGAAAGAGGCTAAAAACCCGTTAAATGTGGGGTTTTTTTTTCCTTATCAAAGAAGTGTTCTAATATGAGAGTGGGATTTTAAGCTTAAATTTAGGAACTGAAACTGTAATTGGTTCTCTGATTTTTGCTTTCTCTTTTAATGTGCTATCTATCAGTGGGATTTGGCTCAAAACCAGAAAAGAGAAAAGCTGAAATAAGTTTTAAAACCAGGCTTTCCTTCAGTAGGAGTTGACCAGGAAACAATGCTGCCAAACAAAAAAAAGATGTCCCTGAACAGAGCATGCTGGATTCTCTTTATCTCTGAGTAATTTTCAGTTGCTAGCCATTATGAATCTGTGTTAATAGAATGCTCTGAAACCTCGTTTAAGATCAGCACATGAATCCTAAGGGAGGTAGCTCCTAGTGCCTAGTTTAAAGCTATGGAACAGACTAATTCTGGCAGGGGAATAACAACATGTTCACACGTGAGTGCTGTCCAGTAAATGGCACTACTTGCTGCAGGGATATTTGTGGAGGAGGAGGAGGTTTCCCTCTCTGGGCACAGCTGGGAGCTGTCTGCAGGATCCTCCCCACCCGGCCCTTCCCTCTCCCCTGTGCTGCTCACCCTGGGGCTGATCCATCCCTCTGACTGGGCAAAACCCCTGTGTCGTGTTCTGTTGGGGTCAGCTACCTCTCCTGTGCTCTGGTGAGCTGAATCAGCTCACTGCAGGGTCAGACACATTCCCAGAGGTGCAAAGAGGAACAGGAAAGAGGGGAGGAGAGGCAGGGATGTGCTAGATCTACTTGACTGTCTTGAGAAACTTCACCCTTGGGTTTATCCTTCCCCTTTCCAGCACTGTGTTTTCATTTGAGCTCTCTCTATGCTGATGATAGCAACTGGCTTTCCATCCCACACAGACTGCTGGAAAGTCACAGCACTCTGCTTTCTGCTCAGGTTAATCAGAAACCCTGCCCAAATCCCTGCCCACTGCAGAGAGACTTTCTCAGCTGCTGCTACGGGCAAAGTTCAGGTGGTGTTGGACTAATCGTGGAGCTGAATGTCTCCTTGGGATCAAGCCAGTTTGCTATGTGTGATTAAGAATTGCGTTTTGTGATAGTCTAAATGTGTGGTGGCTTAATCAGAACTTGGGCTTGACAGCTCCCTGTGTCAACTGATGAGGCTATGGCTGATTTCATAGTTTCACTCTAGGCAGTAGTTACTGGCTTTTAAAAGTTTTTAAAATCCAAAACGATATGGTAGTTAAGTATTACATTGAAATTCATACTTCTAAAATATTTGAAAAATCAAATTTAAAAAAAGTAAATGTGATCACAGCTGAAAGCATGCTGTAAACAAAACCATACTCAGTGTTTGCCTTTCATTCTCCAGCAGAGCAAAGTTCTGTATGTAGAGGTGTCTACAGAGAGTGTTTCCCTTTTTCTGCCTCTGCTCCCGGAGAAATCTCTCCTGTAAGCTCTTTCTCCATGTGTGTTTCTCTCCCTGTTCCCCTGCCACCCACACAAAAGTTTTTAGCCAGCTGCCCAATTCAGTTAAATTCAGTGAAAGCCTCTGTTATTCTGTGTTCTTAGAAAGTTCAAAAAGTTAAGGAAGGAAACTTGGATTAGTGCCTCCAGCAGCAGCTGGTTCCTGCCAATCTGCATGTGTGTGGCCCAGACAACCCACAGCACGTGCTTTGCCTTTCCTGGTACTGATGTCAAAAAGGACGTGGAGTTTACTACTGCCTTTATGGCAGATGGAGAGGGAGGGAGAAGAGTAATTAAAAAGACAGCATGGTCTGCTTATGAATTTAAACCCTTGCTTCAGTCTTCTGATTCTTCTGGCTGTAGAACAAAACAGATGAAGTTATCTGTTTTGCTGTCACCTAAGCTTGCTTTCATTTTTAAAATTTTTTTTTCCCCCTAGTATTCTTCCCGCTGGATTAACTCATTAAACAACTAACTTCAGTCATGGCTTTCAATCTTATTAAAAATTAAGTAACAGGCAAGGTATTGTCTTTTCTCTCCCCTATGAATGTGCACACATGCACAATTGCTTTGAGTGAAGTGTTCTTTTGACCTCATAGAACAGGTGAGATTTACATTAAACTGTCTGTTAAATACACTCAGTAGCCTTCAAGTTTCCAGTCTTCTGAAGAAAAAGTAAGTCAGCTATAAAAGTCTCAATTATTTTATGGAGGTTTTATCACAATAGTATCTATTGAATAGCATTGCCTTTGCTTGGAGTGCTGGCACCCAGAAGCTATGCAGGTTGACATAATCAATGCTGCAGAGGTGAATGATTTTGGAAATACCTCCAGAGACACCTTTTTAGTTGGGAGAGATGGCAAACATTAAAAGGTGAGCTTGTGGAATATGAAAATTTAATTAAAGTAGTTAAAACGAAAATGGAGCCAAGAAATCACCTTTGCAGTACTTTAGCTTTATGGGCCATTCAGGAGTTGGAAATTTTGCACAAAGGGGAATGATCTCTCTCAAGTGAATATCCTTTACCAATTCTAGGTCTGCATTTTCCCCTGCAGCAGTAGTCAAGGCTGGGAACCCCTGAGGTAGGGCATTGTTTACCAGTGAGGCTCTCCCATCTATGTGGGGGGTTTTGTTTCAAAGTAGAGACATGCTTATTTTTTTTTTTCCTGCCTGATTTGATTAATCTATATGCCCTTCTCTTTTATATCTAGGAGAGAGCTCCCTGGAAATCATGCAGGGATGTAGTTTTCTGGAAGTGTAAACTATGGATGGTTATAACTACAATATTTCTAGTGATCTTCCTGGTCATTCTCATCAGCCTAATTCTTTATTCTAGTAAGTATCTCACTCTTAGTTACACCAATACAAACATGCAATATGTAATATCTCTAACAGAACACAAATGCAACAGTAACATCCTCTAATCTCTTTCAGCAAACTGCTGAAGGAGCTGAGATACGGACTGCAGAGGGTGGTGTTGTAGCTTGGTAGATGTTGTGAATGCTTTTATCTTAGCAGGCAGCAAGCAGCTTGTGTCCTGATCAGGTGGCAATTCAAGTTTGTAGCTAAGTGAGAAAATATCACAAGAAGAGATTTAGATATGAGGATGGAAATAATGTTTGTAATGGAACAAGGGCCATTAATTAACAATGCCATCCATGTAATGGGTGACTTGGGTCCCGTGGTGTCACTGCCTGCCAGGCTCCCAGAGCAGATGACTTTTGCTAATGGAGGTGGGTGATTGATCTCCATGTGCTACTACTTTTTTTAGGTGACTTGCACTTTCTGTCTTTTCCAGTCAGTCCTTACCCAGGAAATTTGTGAGAAAACCACCCTGGAGAAAGCCAAGGGGGGCTTTTTTCAGTACTTCAGCTAACTGAAACTTTTTTCTCCCCTTTCTATCTCCTGTTAATTATTAGATGTTTACACAGATGAGGATGACTACTGGGATCCTGATGAACTACTAAGCAGTGGAAACTTTCACAATTTTTCAGGAACATTGGAGTTAATGTGTGGTCTCCCACACTTCTCCTCTGAGGACATTACTGAGAGGGTAAGTGTTTATATGATTCTTGGCAAAGTTGAGTCTATTCAGAACATTGTTTCAGTGTTTTTCCTTCTAAGAAGTTTCTGTTTCTCAGTTTCTGTGTAGCAACTCAGTCATTTGCAAGTCCATAAATAAAACGTGTTGTACTTTTTAAAGTCACAATCTAGAAAAAAAGGAATTGTTTTCTTTTAAGCACAAAAAAGTGTTGAATTTTTTTTCCTCTTAAACTTGACCATTTGTTAAGACAGTCTTCACCTTTTTCATAGAATTATTGAATAGTTTAGGAGAGGCCTGTGAAAATCAGCTGAGCATAATATGGACTAAACATCCTTTGTGCTGCATTCTCTTAATGAGTGTATGATCATAGCCTGGATTTATAGCTGTGATGTCTGCTGAGCCAGCACAACTCTGAGTTACAGCTGAAATAAGCTCAGCATACCTGGCAGTGATCATTTGGACATGGTGGGAAGGCAGTCTCAGGACACAGACCATCCCCTCCACGAAAAAAGAGTTAGAAGAGCCTCTTGGTACTAATTAAATCCCAAACCTAACAACATCAGTTGCACATGGCAACATGAGCACATACTTTTAGTTCACCCTGAGTGCCTCTGTTGTGTTAAGGTTACATAGCAATCACTCAAATGCACAATTAATTTGTCTGCCAAATTTAAATGACTCTCTACCTTTTCCAGAGCAGATATTTGCTGTTATTTGACCTTCAGCCCTTGGTTTTATGCCCCTTAAAGCACTTTATAAGAATAATTTGCTGTGGTTTTGGTTCTTTTGTGTGAGGGGAAAAAAGAGATTGAAGAAACAATTTTTTTTTCTCTCTCAGCTAACAGAAGTCTACAGTTCATCTCCAGCTTTAGGACGTTACTTTAGGTCAGCTCAGGTGATTTCTTTCAGGTAAGCAATTTCTGTCACCAAAGTTATCTGAAAATTACAGGTTTTTGACAAGACATACATGTGCTTATGTAAATATGTGCAATATTTAAATAAAGTGAAAAACAGGTTGTTTGGGGAAAATTATGTATATAGGCAGTGAAAACTGTTCAGAGGATCCTCTGGTGTAAGTGGTAAACACTGCTAAAATTATAAAATGACAGGAACATATTGTTGCTGTGAAGTATCATTTGTTATCTTTGATTCCAACTGCAGCCCTTAATAAATATATTCAAGGATATTTATTAAAAGAAAAATTAATTGCCAGAGACACTTTAGATTGACGTAGTTTAAATAATCTTAAATAAATAAAACAGGGTTCATGAGGAGGAGAGAATCATTTTGTTTCCAAAAGAGTTAAAGGCAAGAGGAATATACATGTTTCCTGTCACAGAGAAATAGCAGAGAGGCAAGGGAAGACAGAGAAAGGACTTCTGAAAAAGAACTCTCACAAAAGAAATTAGAAAGACAGGAGAAGATCAAGGGAAGTAGTTTTGCAAAGTCCCAGGTCCTTTGAGATAGCAAGGACAGAGGGACAGCCACGTTGGAATGTGGCAAGGGGCAGTTGTGAGGGCACTTTGCTCCCTTGAGGAATATTCTCCCTTGCCCTGCCAGCCTTGGGCACACCAGCCTTGTTCAACAGTGAACTGTAGCTCCTTAGGCCTATGGGTACTAACTATGATTTACACCATTAGGTACAAAGCTGCAGTTCTGCACATATATTGATTAGCTAATAACTCTCTCTCTCTGCACCTCTTTGATGTCTCTCTCTTGCTGCTTCCCTCTCTTTCTTTCCTTTTATTTCCCCCCATTCAAATACTTTTTGAAAATGTTTTGAATTCTGTGAGTACAGAAGGTAGCTGTTGAATTCTAGTCAGTTTTGGTAGACCACAAAAAATGAAATCTTCAGAGATGGTCTCCATTTCACTGGTTTGTGTAATCCACGCCTGAGCTGAGTCAGGAGCACAGCTGGGTGGTCCCTGGCACTGCTAGCAGGAAAACAAACCTTCCTACAAGTTCCTAGCTAAACTATTATGTGCTATCCTAGCACAGGATATTGCAACGCCTCTTATCAGTAGCTTCTTGTGAAGCACCAGTGCTGAAAACCACATCCCATCAGAACACGTGTCCAGCTGCCCCTCCTGCATCTGAAAACATGTCTCTGGCTGGCTTCAAGTCTCAAGAGCTGTTCTGAGAAGGGAGGGGGAGGCGGAAGCCGGCATCTTTGGCAGTTTTCTGTCATAATGTTTTTCTTGGGGAAATGTTTTTTTAAACAAAGAATCCGTTCCAACATTGACATGAAAAGTCAGTCTTCAAAAATAAAAAAAAAAAAAGAAAGATCTTGTTGAAACTTGAAGACTTTCACCCTTGATTTTGTTTTGCAGTAATGAAAGCTCCACTGTAATTTATCAGCTAGTGTTTTCTGTACCACCATCAACAGAGGGATTTATGGAAAACAATATGAACCCGGATTTTATAAGGAACATTTTGCGTCAGAATATTTACGATGAAGATACTCTAAATCCTGGGGCATCTGAATGTGACAGGTTAAAGCTCAACCCAACTTCTCTCACGTGTAAGTGCTGTACATTAGAGAAACTGTTTCTTTACAAAGAGCAGAGGTATTTATGGAAAAGGAGGGAAATATTTTTAGAAAGATATTTGGATTCGTTAGTATATATGATTTGCATAACAGTATTAAGAACATTTTAAAATAGCTTTCAGAAAGTCTTGATATGCTTAACTTAAAACCTGACACTCACTGTTTGGTCCTCTGATGAGAAAAGGAATAGTGATGAGACTGGTTAGCTGTGGACTCCAACCAAATTTTTCTGATCTAATATTGCATTTTATCTATACCAAAAAATTCTCCTTATATGTGTGTGTACCATAAAGGGGAGACAAAAAATTTAAAATATTTCTCCTTATTGTACATTTGATGCTGAATGCTAAAAAAACAAATTTTAATCCAAGGGATAAAAAAGACTCCTGATTTGTGTCTTTCTGTAGTTTTTTGGAAAATTTATTATACACAGAAACACCTTTAAAGAAAACAAGTGCTCATTCTTCCAGGTTTTCTAGGCAGTGAGTCCAATGACTACCAGTGACTAGGTAGTGATTCCAATGCATTTATATTTGTCCTGATAGAAATGCCCATATAAAAGTCCCGTGAGCTTTGAAGTGATACTGAAAATGCATGGAGCTGTCTCCCCCCAGTCCCAATTTACTGAGTCACAGCAATTTGATTTTACAATAATCCTAGGCTAACAATTCAGCATTGCAGTGTAGGTAAGTAAGGTTTGCAATTAACTTGCATTGTTTTTTCTTGGGACTCTTACCAAGGGACAAGACATCAACAAGTTGTGAGTTTCAATCTATAGAAGCATTTTATTCCTTATATCTTGAGAAGATTTGTAGAAAAAGTAGCATAAAAACAGACAGGAAAGAATATGTTGAAATAACTACTTAACGCTTTATTTTAATATTAATATTGTGCTGTTTTAACTTTCAGAGAAATTATGGAAAGATTCCTCACCTTCATCACCACCTAGAAGAGATGGGATTCCCTATCTATAAGCAATCCCAGGGCAAGGAACTATGCATTAGGTAGAAACACTTCTAAAATTGTTGTCCTGTAAATACTGCCTGTGATGCAATATTGTAAATGGAAAATATGGTATATTTATGACGGTGTTGTATTGCTATAGCACTACTACCTCCTTCTTTTATATCTCAATAATCCGTTTCACTCTTGAGAAAATCATGCATCTGATACATGCTCTGTTGACTTTGAAAGCTCTGCTTTGTCTTGCCTTATGATTAAATCTGAATGCTCTGCATGAGCTTTAAAAGCAGTCTTGCACATGGCTCCTTTTTCTTCTCTTGGCCTATGCAAAATTATCTGCACAGCTTTATCCTCAATGCTCACTTCCACTCAAACTCATATCTGTTTTTTTTCCCTCCAAACTTCACATGCCATATTTCCTTGTTGCTCTTTCCTTGTAAAACAGCCTGAAAACATACATACATACATATATATATTTGTATTCTTTACTTATGTGCAAGGTCTCTGCACTAGCTTCTTAAGAACGCTTTAACTCTCATGATTTCCTTATTCTTCCTACAGTCTCCTTGGTTAAGGTGCTCTTTGCTCTGTTTTTCTCTTCTTCATGTGAAATATGAAAGAAGAAAACAACAGCATGAAGAGACATGTCTTGTTCACTAACGCGTGTGAACATCACAGGAATTTTTAAAAGGTCGAATTAGCAGTTTGCTTTTACAGTTAGCTACTGCTACCAGTGAATAGACAGATGCTTGACCTGTTTTTGTAAATCTGAAGACAACTCTATGTCCTTAATTATCGTTCCTGCCCAGCACTGGGGATAAAAATGAACAGATGTAAGGTATTTGCCTTAATAAGGCAGTAAATAATCGTTTTTGTTGATGAGAGACCAGATGAGATGAATCAGTGCCAAGAGGAGGGTGCCGAAGCAGGTGACATAGGCCAGCAGTCAGTAGGCTAGTAACTGGCTATAACATAAAAACTAAGCATTACCTTTATGCAGAATGGAACATATTCACTACCATGTGAGTGAAGTATATCTTGTCATTTATTTATAGCCTTATAAATATTAGTACTGTTAGATATTTTATTTTAAGAAGTGTTTTGTATTGTAAGAAATATGTCCTGGAAAATTGTTTTTCTCTTTCTAATATTACTGGTTTATTTAAGGAGTAATCTGACAATGTTATAGTGCATTAAATTATTTTTTTTTACTCTTAAAATGACTGTTTTCATTCTTTAGCAGCTCTAGTCTTTCAGCTGTGTGAGTTGGAAAATAGCCATTGGAATTCTAAATGCTGAGCTGCATGAAGCATGTCTGAGAGAACTGTACACTCAAACCCATAGTTGCTGTTGCATGTGTTTAAACTGAGCTTGGGAAACATCCTGGACCAAATTAGTAGTTTGCATGACTCTCATATTTGTGGCTTATTCTGATTCCCTCTTGGTTTGTAAGATATAGCATTGACTGTAAGAACTGTAATTTCTCTTCCTGTAATAGTCTATGCAGCACACAGTTAGAAGAGAGATTTCTTTTGATCATTATGCTGGGGAAGGACAAAGTTCATGGCTTGTATGGCTTGTCCCAAAAGCAGCTAGCTGTGAAAGTACCAACAGCAAAGAAATAAACTGCTGTTGAGATGTTGCTCAATCTTATTGCTCTTACCAAGATACCTGATCCCTTCCTTGAACACTTCTTTACCTTGATTCTAGGAACTGAAAAATAATGTAATGATTAGACTTATTTATGGTGATACCCATATGGGCATTAAGAGTTGAGAAAGGAGTCGAGCATTCATTTTTTTCCCAGCCATCCTCCTTTATATCTATACCTTTACCCCAGAACCTCACATGGAAGAAGGAGGTGGGGCTGGAGTAAGATGTGATATTCAACAGGAAACGTCTGACTCTACAGACTGCATCCAGTCAGGATTGAAGGAAATGTTAAAAAAAAAGTAGTTTCTGGTTATATATCTGTGAGGTAAATTGATCATGTAAAAGAAAATTAAAAAGTGAATTAATTATGACTCAATCCATTAGGGACACAGCAGTGTGAAAACACATAATTATATCAAGTTAGATGTTTTGTGTGAATGATCAATATTAATTTGAATAGAAGGAATGAGGAGAATACCTTAATGACTGAGACATCGTTAAAAAGCAGCTTGTGGGTGTAATATTTCTTTTGCATGCACTGTTTTATTGTTTTGGGGCTTTTTATTTAATTCCAACTTGAAGACTTCACACTAAGTAGTATTACATTAGAAGGGGGAGGGAAGAATTTGAGAAATTAGTTCTTTATTAAAATTGTGCATTGTATAATGGTACAAATCAAGCATGTCAGAGAAATTTTGTACAAGAGTAAATGGATTGAACACAAGGTTTATGCTTTCATTTAAGGTAAGAAACATTCTCCAAACAAACAGAAAGACCCTGTTATTATTGCATTTTTGAGATTTATAGCAGTAGTTCTTTAAGGCACCTTTAAAAAAAGAAGTATTCTACAAGTCCAGAAAAATGTACAGCCTCAGTTGCTTAAAATATTGTAGGTCCTAATTTTCTATAGAGGAACACTGTGTTATGATGGCAGTTGCTACTGATTCCCCTGGTTTAATTGTCAAGCCCTGTACCCAGTCCATGTTTCTTTCTCTGACCAGCTGTTCATGGACAGATTAGTCTCATAGTAAATGACTGGTGGACGTAGCCTAATGGGTAAGCTTGGTAACAAGAGAGAGATTTGTCTGAAGACCCAACAGCAGAGGTAGGATGGTTATCATCATTCACCCAGGCAAAAGGGTGCCTTCTAAGTTACCAGGACATCATCATATTCACTATGCTCTTCAGGGCTGGTGACATTTGCCTTCCTCTTGGGCACGCTGACAAGTGCATATTCTGTCTGATTATTGCTGTCAATCACACAGATTTCATGTTTTACGTCATGGCTGACAGTCGAGTACCACAGCTCACTGGAATTCACAGAATCTTTTTTGGCAACATGTTCCTGAGGGGGAAAAGGGGGAAGAGAGAAAGAGGGAAGCTTCAGTCTGATCATACCCTGGAGAAGTTTGGAGCCAGTCTGGTACAGGCTGTATGCTCACGCAGTGCTGTTGACTAACACACACTGTCAGGTGGTAAGTCCACAGTCATTTCCCAGCTGCCCAGGCTGTGGCTGCACACCTGGAGAGCCCTCTTAGCAGTGCTGACACAGTGGAAGCTCATCACCACATGAGAGAGCACAGCAGCACAAATGGAGCCAGGCAGCCCCAATCACCCCAGGACCCGGCTACCCCCAGGGCTGTCCCGAGAGAGATCATCCCTGTGACAGCCACCCAAGCAGGGAATGGGAACTGATGGGAAAGAAGGGAAAGTTACATAGGACATTTTATTGATACATGTGAAGGGAGAGCATTTGGGATTTGAACAAGACTTAATATGGGGTGTTTAGGGAAGGGACTGAAGGAAAGGGGTTGGGGTGACTTGCAGAATAAAAGCATCAGAAAACAGAGGAAGAAAGGGAGGGACAGGAGTCACAGCAAGATGCCAGACAGACTGTAGGGTTTGGGAGGCAATTAAGACCCCAAGTGCATGTGTGTGTGTGGCTGTCCAGGAGATGCACTGTTGTGGAAGGGGCCCTGGCCTCTGCAGAGATAATGTGAGGACTAATCCCTTCCCCAGCAGCTCTCATCTGATTCTGTCCTTGAGAACAGAGAGAAGAGGAAGAAGAGCCATTAGCAAAGGAGGAGGTAAGATTGTGTGGGCAAATGCCTTCCCAGCTCTGTTTAGACTTGTCCCTCCTTTTGCCTCCTGAAGGTGTTTGCTAATGGGCTGTGGGTGATTGCGCATTAAATAGCTAGCAGGATGACTCATTAAATCTAAAGAGCCAGTGTGCACTGATTAACTTGAAGCAAGAACTTAAAAATTTGTTTGCCCTTATGTTCTTGATTTGAATGCACTGGGTACTGCAGCCAGTGAATTACTACCAGCTTTATAGCGGAATTCTGTGTTGTCTGCAGTAGTGGCAGTATTTTGAGCGTGTGTTGATGGGTTCATGGTGACATTTGCAGCTACCTTCCACATTCTGTTAAGTGGAACAGAGGTCTCTGTTTCATGGCTTAAAAACTCCAAAGGGTTAGTTTTTATTTTTCAAGCCTAGAAGAAGGACAGTGTTAGAACAAAATTCCTGCAGAATTTGCCTTGGGTTTTCCAAGTTTACCCAAATCATATTGTCTGTTCAGATTCTGCTTTGCATGGAAGATCTCCTGACCTAGAGAACATTTCAGTGAAAATAAATTCTGATTTTTGATTTGAGGTTTTATGAAGTTTTGAGATGTAGAAATTCCAGAAATTTTAAGAAGCAGAGTAATCAGGGTGGACTTGCTTATCATCAAGTGCATGGCTCTCTTCTCCCCTAGTCATGATTGCAAAGATGTAAGGACAATAGTATTTCTCTTAATGTACCTATGACATGAGAATAGGTAGGCTCTTAATTTTCATGAGTGAGTGGCTCTCAATCCACTGAGTGAAGTCTGGAGCATCTCTTGTCCCTTCAAACACATAGGTCTAACCAAGAGTTGCTCTGAATCACATTTTCCAGAATCCTTCTAGTCATTGTGTTTTGAAAAGCTGTTATCATCAACCTTCTCTTATCAGTAGGGAGGCTGAAGTGCAGAGGTGGAGTGATTTATCCCACATGCCAATGGAGCAAGTGTGGAAACTTCCATTATTCACAGGCCAAGTTTAACACTCAGAGGGGCATCTCTCCTATTGCACTAACAGCCCTGTGAGGACTGTTTTTAAACCACGCTCTGGGGCTTTTCCTTGGGACACCAAAAACTCTCAAAACCAGACAGCTACTTGGCAGGTTCCCCATTACAGTTCTACTCCCTCCTCTTGCCCCACAGTCCATCCCACACTCACAGGTACAAATGATGAGCTCATTTCATCGCACCCTTTTCTGTCATCTTTCCCACTTTCTTCAAAATTTTCTGCTAAACGCCCACTTATCTGCTGGGCACCAACTTTTGCTTTACTGGTATCATATTTGTTAAAAAAACCCCAAAAACCCAAAACCAAACCAACCCTGTTAAACTGCTAAATGGCAGTTCTTCGTTCTGCAGTACATAGGGCTTCTGGTGATTGCTTGTCATCAGGTGTTGCAGTGTGTTTTTTGTTGATGGTATGTTCTGTTATTGCCCAAGTTGATGGTTTGGTCCAAATGAGACCCTCCCATCTCAAATTGTCAATCTACTCCGAGTCTCCTGTCAATCTTAGGCCCACCACATGCTTGGAATTCCACTTCTGAAATCCCCTAAACTTTGTCACTTGATTAGTCCATGTGGCCAAATTTCTCCCCTACCTCCCTCACTGGATGATGATTTTGTGAACCCTGCCTTTTACCCTCCCCAGGATATCTCTGATTAGCTGATGCTTTGTACCCTCCCTTTGAACCGCCTCCCTATTTCAGCTGTTGCACGCTCGCATTTTCTGTCTTTTGCCCCCAAGATTCCCCAGAGAAATCCTCTATAATCCCATGCAAAAGACCTCCCTCTCATCCTTGCCTCCTCAGAGCACAGACTGACAGCCAAAAAGCCGTAGAGCAAGTGCTCCAGTGGCACCTCAGGTCATCCTGCTCTGGGGTGTGACCCACTCCTGGAGCGGGCCGAAGTGATGGAGCCAGATAAGGGGCTCCAGCCCCTGTGTTAATCAGGGACTCAAGAGGCAGCTTCATTTACCCTCTGCTAAAATGAACTGTTTAGAAAGCAGAGACAGCAAACCACAGGTACTCAGCTCCCACCTCTTGGAGCATATTAATACACACAAACAATCACAGACAAACAACCACACAAGACTGCGAAGTGCAGCTGTTGAGAAGGAGCTGTTCCCCCACCCCTGCCTTCCAGGATGATAAATTTGGGCAGAGAAGCAGGGCACACACCAAGTTATAGAGTTACCTCTTAAATTACTCTGGGGTGAATTGCTAGAGCTCCTAAAGCTAACCCCAAAGGAGGGAGGTAAGATGAAAGGGCAGTGTGTTTATCTTACCATTCTTTCCTGTGTTCCAATGCAACCATTTCCTCCATTCTGATTTATCAGAAACTAAATGTGCAACCTGAAAGGGCATGTTTGGTTTTGTGGAGGTTTGTTTTTTCTTTCTTTTCTTCCTTCTAGAGGCAGTGAGATACTGGAAGGGGAAACCTTATTCTTTTCCAACAGAGACTTAGCCATTTGTTGATACATCTGCTATTTTTTTATAGTGCAAAGGTTAACCAAAACCCTTTAAGCCTCAATGTATTAAATCTCCCTTTGTTTTTCAATTGAAGATTTCTTTATTACTAAACCTGGTTGGCAATAGTCCATTTAAATGACTTCTAGAAAATGTCATGCTGAAACTGAAACTCTTTCAGGAAACATGCCAGTAGTCATGAGACTGCTTACCAAAAAGGTGA